ACTTTTTTGTTTTGAGGTTCCCAGAGGCCAAAAACATCATCCCTTCAAATTCATATACGTATATATGTGTGCTTTAGCACAATAACTCAAGCAAAAATTATCTGATTTTGATGAAATATGGTATAAACGTGTATACCGGTACCTAAATTTATTCCAACGAGTTTGCGAACCAGCATGATCGGACTATGGTAACAGGGGTTTATGGGGTAAAAATTGGGTTTTCCATTTTTAACCCTGAAAAATGGGGGGATGAATTAGTTGAAGTTCGAATCATTACAATTTTACTTCTTCTCTCCCAATCCTTGAACCTCATTGGTCCATTACCCGTGTTGTTATCTCAAAAACTATGCTGTTATGAAAGTAAACAATGCTATTATGCGAAACGTTTAAATTCTAAGAACTGAACTGAGACGTCTACTTTAAAAAACGGTCGTAGCTAAAATAATGATTTAGCCTAATTTGTTTGGATCAGCTGTCTGAAATTGTGAAATAAGCATTTAACAGTTCTTTAAGGTAAACAGAGATTGTGAATTTTCTCATGCTTCCATGGAGACCAATTAATATTTACTTTTGAAAACCTCACCTCAAAACTTTGGACATCCAAGGGGCGTAGCCTGAGAGGAACTCAGGGAAGTGAATAGTCCTATGACATTCCTAGATATGTGGACCATCTTTATCTTTGTTCTTAATTTGGGCTGTATTGGTTTAGTATTTTAGTTGTGGCAGTCGCACAGACAGATAGACAGACAGACAGACACCACCCCAATTTTATAATAGTATAGATAGATATATATAGCAAATAAAAACAACAACACCATCGGTGACTCATGGAGCTGGGCTCCGTGCTTCGAGACTCTCCGGGCTTCAACTGATTAATAGGGGTTTTGCGAGGGAGGTTTGAGATCAAAATAACGTTCAATAGGTTCCTAGAAAGATGCACGTAAGGTACTGTTACTCCCAAAGTTCCTGGCTGGCGATATCACATTTTTTTCTATAAAACAAATGCACCCAGAGGAAAAATTCCATGGTGACACTGACGAAGGGTTAAACAAACTCCCATATAGATTTGTTTTACTTATGGATGATCTAAACCTTAACCTTGAGACAATTTTAAAGTTTATTTATGTCTAGAAATGTTTGAGTGTGTTGATTTCGCGTACATATATTTCTTTTTGTTTCACCAACTTTAACAAAACTAGTAAGTTATAACTATATAACTACTTAGTAGGTACAGATCAGCCAAACCTTCTGTGCTCACGGAGGGTCGCTACTAGCCGCACTAAAACATAACGGGTGCCAGTTATTAACAGTGCACAAATAATGTTTTCACAAATTATCCCTACCAACCCCCTCGCCTAGACCCAAACAGTTCTGGCCATGCGCACAAGTTAAGGTTCGGCCGATTCTTGATACCACCGATTCATAGACATTAGTATTAGTATACAAAAAAATGCTGATATACTGATACCTGGCAGTTGATAAGCCTTTGTTGGCAGATATGGAAAACATACTTATTTCATATTACTGGTAACGTTAGAATTATAGAATAAACTGCCCATAAAATGCTTTAGGCAAATAAAAATGTATATGTTTTCAGGTAGGCTTGATCAGTAAATGGTTTAGCGGTGAGATGGACAACCTTCTCCGAGACACGTACTTGCCCCTGGACAACGAAAGTTTGATTGCAACTCAGGCAAAAATATTCTCTATACAGGACCTTGCATTTGTGTTTTCTATCCTACTATCAGGATTGTTACTAAGCACTGTGGTATTCATCTTTGAGAAGATGCTAGTTCATTATCAAAAATAATTTATCGTAGTTTCAATTTATAACTTGGGTGTTTTATTATCATTATTTTGAAACAGTGATACACATCTAGGTGTTATTTTAAGCTAAATGTGAATGAGAGGTGAGTGTAGAGAGTAAGATTATCTGTGTAGTAGTTTTGTAGGTTGGAAATTGAACCTACAAAAGTATTGTATATTGAACATACATTGGATTGAAACAAGAAACATTGTGTTTAATAGTTTGACATGTTGTAAATGGTATTTTGTAGTGATCCAACTATAATTTTGGGTTTTAATACCCATTAGGTTAACCTCCAATGAGAGTAGTAATTATTATTATACCAATCCAGATTTAATAAAGACCATAATAATGAAGTTTGTATTAGTGAGGATTTACTATTTCTGCTCACTACTATATCACTGAAATGCAAACTAAAACACAAAGTCATGAATTATCAATAAATTATCAATGAAAACCAAATGTAAGCCAGCAAACCAAAGACAATTTCTCAACTGGCATAGATGAAATGATAGCTTTAAGATTTGTTGGAATACAAACTGGGAGCTCTGGACAAACATAAGTTTTTTTGATAGGAGAACATTTATAAGCTATAACTACTGTAGATCCTATAATTGAGTATAATCTCAGAACAAAAACTGTCCCGTTACTTTAAAGTTTGTGGTAGTGTACAGGTAAATAGAATACTAGGGTTGCTTTCAGAGAGATGAAAGCCAGTTGAGCGGAATAAAGGTGATTTGATATTTGTATAAGTAACTAAATGTAAAAAGGTCAATAGATTTATTTACTAATGCTGGTTTTAAAGATTAAAATTATAATAATTCACATTTACCTCTTCGAGAAGTGCATTATGGTAGTTTTGACCAGGAAAATATTACATTAATTTTTCACCCTTACAATTGGTTAAAGTATTTAAGTATAAAAAACAGTACCTATTAAAAACGAGTATTGTATAACAACAGGAGAGGAAATGTGACATTTAAATTCAACTGTGCAGCATAAACATCGGTTAAACTCTAGGAGGATTAAACGTTAAACTCAGCTTTCTTTGCTGGAAATAATTTATGATTGTTAATACCATAGTATTCTTGATGGAGGATATGATTGTAATGTAACTGGAATGTAGGTCTTCTTCTGCCATTATTATGACGATTTAGCGACGGCATTTTAATACTGGCCTTAATAATACCATTGGCCATTGAATACAGTCGATTTTGATGAAAATGCTGGCTACAAATTCAACATGGGGATGGAATGTCTAGTTGTATTGATAATCAAAGATAAAACATAGGCCTACGAAAAATGTAGGGCTATTTTAATGTAAGACTCAAATGTAAAACGCCTTTAAAAGACTAAAATGAACTGAATTATCAATCATTTATTTCAATGTGTAAAAACGTAAAAACTGCAAAAAGACTTATTGAACAATAAAATAAGATGGCTGAAATGTAGGCATAAACATAAGTAATAAGTAAACATCGCATTCAGCTGATTTAAGTGAAAACAGAATAATATAATAAGTAGGGAAGACATGCCTTAAATATACAATGTAGAATAGATAATATAATTAAAAAATTAGTAGCCTACTTCTGGACAGGCCTAGACAATTATCCATACCGTGGTTAAAAGTGTTCTATAAGCCCAGGTTTACTTATTACGGTTGTAACTGGACGTATGTATAGTCCGTGGCTTGGCAATCAAATAACAGTATTTATATAGGATAGGCTACTGTTATCAACATTTGAAATGACTGAATTGTTACCAAATTACTGTTTCACAAAATGCAGATTCCATTTTCAGCCGAGCCATTAAAATGAGGATTTGCCGAACAATTATTAATATTACAGAATAGTATATAATGATATACAACTTTTCACATTCCATGAATTATATGTTAGTTTTGCTATGGTCAAAGGTCCAAATCCAAATGTTCTCTTTTCTTTTGGTCAGTATGTAATAATTTGCTAGAATCATTGACTTTATATAAAGTCAAAGCTAGAATACTGTAGATGGTTTGTTAAGTTAAGACCATATGCAAGCATTTTTGAAATCGTTTCCCCGTTTAACCTTAACCAACTAATCCATTCCAAAAGATAAAAATTATATGGTGCAACACAAATAAACAACCCGATCACCTACCTATAACCTACACTTTACCTTCCTAATCTAACCTTACTTCAAAACACTTAATGTAGTCACGAATACTCATAAACCCCAACCTACCTCCCCACATGCCTAAATTAGATCAGTGTTCAATCTGCGTTTTATCAATAAGCGTAATAACTTACTGTACCGTCGATGTAATTCAACATAATATAACCTATGAGGTATTATCGGATTAAATACCGATTTCGATGCGGTTCGATATATCGCTTATTAAATCCTGATTTCTAACATTGGCTGTTTCTAATCAGCTGGCAACACAAATAGGTTCCCAAGAAAGTAGTCACCGGTCCGTATCCCTCCGCTCCTTGTTTATGCTCCGCTCATTGAGAAAGTAGTTCCGTATATTTTCTCGATTTTCAGTGAATTCCGCGCCTTAAAAAAAAGTTTTAACGGCATTTTCTTGTATATTTAAATCATAGGAATGGTTTAAAAACGTTTAAAAGAAAAGTATAGAAAGTTCAGAAATACCTAATGATTCTCTTGTTTACATTTTGCTTGTAAACAAAAAAACTGTCATAGCTACTTTAGTCCCATAAGCCTAATGTTAAAAATTTGAAATTTTAAGTTCGTTTTAAATTGCATTAGCATTATCTAATTGAAATTTGTTTGTTTACAAACCATCTCATTATTAATCTAAGTAGTCTTGTTAAGTTTGGCTGAAATGTGTTCAGCAGTTATTGAGTGATGGTGTTATATTGTTTGCATTGAAGTTGATCCCAAAGAGCTTCGCTCGCTTCGCTCGCTCCGCTCAATTAATAATCTTACTTCCCTAAAGTATTGCCTTAAGTGTCTCTTGTGTTTTCCTATTAATGTTTATTGTAGGTAGCAGTGGTTTAGTCGTTAATTTTCCAGTGCAGGAACGCCCACCAATATTGTAGCATAAACACTTTGTCTATCAAGATGTAGGTTCTTTTGAAAAAGCAGAGCAAGTACGCCGTTCCCACCCCTATACCACTGATGGGCAGCTATTTTAATAGTTAAAACATTATACCAGAGCTAAGCTTAATACGTATGAACAATTAACAATGAGCAAGTCACTTTGTATAAGATTTATTTAAATGATAAAAAATTAAATTCAATACGCTAATGTTTGATCACACATGAACTTCTTACAAATACCTATAGTGAGTAAATTTTGATCATACTAGATTTGTGAATAAGTAATCCTCATTTTCTGCTGGTTCTAAATGAGTATTCAGAAACTCTTCAATTGAATCGGTATTCCATCTTTCTATTGCAAGTACCTGAAAAAACAAAGAAACAGATTATCTAAAGATCAAATCTATTATTTATCAACTACCATTTTATACGATACCTAAGAAACATTTAAAAGGAGAAACAGAATGAATACAAAAAAATTAGATAGAAAAATAATTGAAATTATCTACTTATATATCATTCAGTTTTAAAAATCTTTGTACAAATAAATCTATAGTTCTACTGGACCGATTTTATTAATTAATGGACTGTTGGAAAGCTTAATTTGTGTAGATTTGCAAATAATTATGAAAGTTTGTTTTGTTATGATTTATGGTAAAAAACATGTTTTCCATAAGAAATACATTGAAAACGGCGTTTTTCACACTTTTTATTTGGGTGCGAATTTTGGCTGCCTTTTTTAATATTTCCAAGAAATGCATAGTAGTAATTTGTGGTAAATTTCATTCTCTTTCAGAATATCACATCCACTTTGGTCGATTTCCCCTCCATTTAAATTTATTGGCAATAAGCTAAGTGATTTCCAAATTTAAAGAGGTGAGAAAATACTGAATTAGATATATATTAGTTAAACTTTGTACAACTAAATCTAGACTTCTACCGGACCGATTTTTTTACTTGAAAAGCCTAATTCAAGTAGATTTGCAAATAATTATGAAAGTTTGATTTTATTACATATTTGAGGTGAAAAAATAAAAATAAACAATAATACATTTAAAACACCTTTTTTTCCAAGTTTATATTTGTAGCCAACTTTAGGCTGCCTTTATTTAGTTATTTACAAAAACGTAAGGAACCTCCCAATTTATAGTGGTGAGAAAATACTGATTAAAGATGTTGTTAAACTTTGTACAAATAAATCTACAGTTCTACTGAACCGATTTTATTAATTAATAGGTCATTGAAAAGCCTAAGATTTGCAAACAATTATGAAAGTTTGATTTTTTTAACATTAAATAGGTGAACCCCGGTAAAGTCGACAGTTACTATTGAGGTTGCAAGCAAGATAGTTTGACTACAAATTGATGATAAATAACTCATTTTTTTTAATAATTTGGTTGCGTGATTTAGCAGTGTGCTTTAGGTACGTCCGATCTTAAAAATGAATAATTAAAATGGAAGCTGGTATTTCACTGATGGTTCTTAGGTCAAAACAAATAGAATAACATAATTAGAAATGAGTAAATATAATTAAAACTAAACTCCACATCCTTGATATAATCAAATTTATGTTTTCTGATTGAGCGATACAGTATCTTTAACTTAACTGATTAAAACTATCAATATCTCAAGTGAAAGCCTTTGAAGTATTTTAAGACCAAGACATATAAAATAACTTAAATAAAAATAGAGTTAAATATCATTAACTGCAGATAAGTACTAAAACAATTATAATTATTGTTGATTCGTGATTCAGCAGTGTGCCTTTAAAAGGATTAGTAAGATTGGAATCTTAATAATCAATCGCTCAAATGAAAGCTGGTTTAGACAAAAAATATAGGGTAACTGCTGGAATACATCTTTAATTGAAGTACAAAAGAAAAAAAAAGAAAATTTATATTTTTTTGTTCAGTAATACGTTAGATAAATTAATGATGATGCTTGATGACAAATATGTGCTTGCATAGCTTTATTTTAAGACCAAAATTATGAATTTTGGGCGGGTAGAAGAGCCAAACGAAGTTGAAAAAAACCAAATTTAACTCCTATAAGAAATTTACAGGGACGCATTTTGTGCATAGCTCAAAATATATGTCAAAATGAATGCCGATGCATGATGGCAAATCTGTGGTGCGTCCATACCTTTAGTTTAAGGCCAAAATTATAAAAACTGGTCGGGAGAAGAGCTAACCCGACTCGGAAATGAAAAACCAATAATTTTTATAGATGGCAATACAGTAGAGTCCCGCAAACTCGGCACTCGATAACCCGGCAGTCTGGATAACTCTGCCATCACCTGGCTCAGAAAGTTAGTGATTTTTTGAGTCCGAGTTAAATATGAACTCAAGCCAGCTCAAGTCAAATCATTCGCAACTCGTACCAAGGATTTGTTGTACCATATCTGATGACTTAATACTCAAATCAAATCAAAACATCTTTATTATCCTTACATGTACATATAAATAAATTCTTTTCCTAACTTGTAATATAAATATAAATAAAAATGGTGGTTAAAAAAGCTTAAAAATTGTACTGTCCTTATTTTTTACCCCAGTTCCCAAAAACCCGGCATTTCACAAACTCGGCACCCTTCCAGTCAACATTACGCCGAGTTTGCGGAACTCTACTGTAATTGGTTTACCAGTAAGCATAATCATACGAAACATGTATTACTAATTTAACAGCTTATTGTTATATTGTTATTTAATTCATTTTTCATTTCATTGATTAAATGTTGTTGTTAACAATTTGCATTTGTGTTTAAGAAAGTGTGTTCCTTATGTTAAGTGTATGATTCTAATGTTATGTGCTTAATATGTACCATTGGCATTAATATTAGTGAGTAAAGTGGTGTATGGATTTCATAACCATTATTTTACTAGAGACCGTTGTATTTAACCACAGCGGGCTCTGTTGCTAGTCACTATATAAATATACTTTTTGCCATATTGCTCCAAAAACAGCTGTTTTTAATACATGACGATTGTGGTTCTAAAGTAGCTATTTTACTCCATAGGGAGCTGTCATAAACTTAGTTGCAAACTTTGATTATAAGCAATCGCATGTATTGAAATCACGTATCGACTGATTTAATCAGCTTAAGCTTATTGTTGCATTCTTGTCAATAGTTTGACAAATCGATAGTATAATGTACACTAAAACAATCATAAAATACAAACTGATTGAATCGCTTACTTAACAGCTACTTAATTGAATTAGCAAAATTGAAAACAAGTTGGAAGTGGTTTTGAGAGGTTATCTTTACATGAGTTTCTATTTTCTAACTTAGTTTGTTAAATGATGCTGCAATGTAACAAAAAATACAGTTTATCACATAGGCAAAAAGTGTCTTTTCAACCCTCGACCCCTTGAGCTTGGGTGGAAAAGAGCCACTTTACACCCTAGTGATGAAATATACTATTTCGTCATACTGCAGCAAAAACAACTGTTTTCAATAAATACGTTGTGGGTTTGTAATATCTCTTTTTCTCCTTAGGGAATCAAATCAGCTACATTTTGCTCACTCGTAAACTTTAATTGTAAACAATCGGATGTATAGTAAGTATGTATCGATTGTAACTAATAAATTACAGCTCATTGATACATTTGTGTGGACATTCTACATGTACATTCTAATTTGTTCATGAAGTTGGGGAACCAGTTTATTTCACTTACAGCCCATCAAATTCAAGAACACATTTTTATTTCCAACTGTTTAGTTGTATATTGATCTTATACTAATTTAAGTAAATAACTTCTTGATCAGCATTGTTCGTGCTATTGAATTTACTTTCCACTAATTTAAGTACAAAGAAATCTATACTTATTTAATACGCAAGCAGGTTTTTTGTGACAATTACTCCTCCGAAACTACTGAACTGATTTACATGTTCTTGGTGTCATTGGAAAGAGCGTAACGTGAAGTTGTGCAGGAAACTTTCTTTTTAGGGAAATAATTAGAGGGTGAGGCCCTGGGGGCCTTTAAAGTTTCGTATTTCTCCATAAGATTAACATGGGAAACAAATATTGTTATGAAACTCCAGCTGTTGTCAGAAATTAAAAGTGAGAAGAAGAACATATGTTAATTGTAAACATTCAATAAGTTTGCTAATTTAACAGTTAGTTTGCCACAAACATTTACTTACTCGGTTGAAATGAAATAGTTACTATTTGAATTTGGGTCGGCGTAATTATTACAATGGGAAAAAACGAGAGAGCCTGGATAAATTGATATACTAAAAAGAAAACTGAATTAACACTGTGCTGCATTTCTTAGTAATCATTGAAAGAGACGATTTGCAAACTATGGAAACATAGGAAAGTCATAGAATACCACCAAGGGGAAGAAATAGAAATAATGTGTGTTATAAACACTAAAAAACAAAATCAGCTTTTGAAAAATGATAAGATATTTACAAGAAATGTTGATTATATCGATCTGTTATGTACATCTTGAGTATTCCATAATCTTTGAGTCGAATCTTTTATAGTCATAAAAAATATGACTGTTATTCGTTTTAAAATAAAGCCTGTAATACTTAGCAGTTGCTCGATTTCGAGCAACAGGGACACTAGTTGTCCTAAATAGGGACTACACTAAGTGGTCTTTTGTTTGGAAGTGTCAACAAAAGTGGAACAATGCAGGTACAAAGAAAGTAAAACAAAACTCCTCATGCTATTGGCATTCATACAAGAAAATTAAAAATTTCTCTTTCTTTCTTGGGGGTTTGTGTGTAAGGTGTGCAAAGTGTTTGTGTTGAGTGTCTATAAATAGTTATAAATTGCAATTAAAATTTTCCATCATCAGTTATTGCCTTGTGATTTAAGAAAATATAAAAGTTGTATCCTAATTTATAATAATTGTACAATACAAGGATGGTTTAAAATTGGATGGAATTGAGGATTGAAGTATAAAATAATAATAAGAGTAGATATCTTAACTAGGAAGCTTCATAGGAACTTGCTCCCTTCATTAACACAATTTCCTTACTTCTTGTACGTTTCCTCCTTTGTCCATCAGTTTGATGATGGGATCGAGCCCACGGACGTAGCGAATGGTCAGATTAGGGAACTTGGCGGGCCGATCACTTTTGACAAAAGCTAAAATAGACAAAAATATGTACTATTAAACTATTAGACAAATATTCACACAAATAAGCTATCCTTAAACTGCACAACAATATCTAGCTATCTCCTCACTGCTGTTTTAATACATGCATTGTGGTGTAAAAGTTGTCTATTTTAATCCTAAGACTGAATACCCCCGACGCAGCAAAACCTGCCGACTAACAAACGAGTACCTAGGTTTGCTGTCACAGTAGGTACAAGGGAACTAATAAAGTGTTTTATAGTAAAATATTAATTGCTTAGTAGGATAAAATAAATAAATTAGCCAAGTTTGATCAAAATATATCCATAAACAAGCAAACTAAAACATTTTACAATATTTTCCATAAGACTAGCATGGGAATTTTAAATTTACAATTGTTTAAATGTTCTCCCTTAATTGTAAAAAAAAAAAACACTTTGATATACTAAATTATTTGTTTTTTTGAGCTCTTTAAAAAGGTCTAGAGAGAAATTGGAAAATTATGTGTTCTAAGGGTCAAAAATGAGAAAAACCAATTTTTAGCCCATAAAATCCCTCGTAAAACCCCGTTCCCATGGTCCGATCATGCTGGTTTGCGAACTCATTCAAGTTTATCCCACCTTACAGATTCAAAACAAATTTCATCAAATTTCGGACAAAAATTACTTAAGTAATCGTGTTCATGGACGTGTGTATATATATATATTATGTAAACTGTAGTGATTAGGGCTACTTTTTTTAAATAATGCATTTGTATATATATATATTTATATATATATATACAGTAGAGTCCTGTTAGTCCGAAATTACCACCAAATATTTTGGATTAAAAGTTTTTTTAAATTTTTTTTTCTCGTTTTTTTTTTGTCTTAGGACGTTAGGCACGAGCCCGGGATTGTTTTTCACATTACTTAAGGCTAGACCTAGTGGCTGTAGCATTATCACTGATAAAATCTATTTGTGATATGGCGGGATTGGAACCCGGGACGAAAATGAAAAATGTTAATAACAGAAATGGTGAAATATATTTACTAAAATACTCTACAAAAAAAGTCTATCTCGCCCCTCCACTACAGAATACTTTGACGAGGTAGGCCTATAGCTGACTGTGTTAAAAGTTTAATAAAAATTTTTTTTTTAATGTTTGAAAAAAGTTTTAAAAATATTAATTTTTATTAAATTAAAAAAATTAAAATTAAAATATTTTTTTGTTTCGGATTAAGCGGACATTTGAATTACCGAAGTTCTGATTATCGGGACTCCACTGTATATATATATATATATATATATATATACCCTACAGGGTGTCCCACGTAAGGTGTCTCAAATTGATTACGCAAAACGGCTTAACGTACAAGGATGAAATAAAATTATTTTCCATTAAATCGACCTCAAGGAATAACGTGAAACTATTTTTAACTTTTTTCCAATACGTAATTTCCCCATTTTGTTAAATGATTGGATTTAACCTAACCTAAAAACTCGTTGTACAGTGTTGAATTGTTGTTGTGTAGGAATTGAATGACTGATTATTTGTATGATTTATAGTACAACTGTAGGAAAAATATAATGTGTAGCCCGAGTGCAAACTGCCTTTGCTGCACTCGAAAAACTTTCCACTCTCGCATACGGCTTGTGCGTAAACATTTCTCTTGTGTGCAGCAAAGTGCCACTTCGCCCACTAGTTACACAAATAACTATTTTCTACCTTGAATTTGTGGGTATGCTCCGAATTTGCATGTGCATACTTCCAGCCGGGCTTTCGCATATCGCTTTATTGACGGAGTGGGCTCGTCTTTGTTACAGCACTCATTGCAGTGATCTCTAAAAAGATTAAATGATTTTTTAAATAATTAACTAAACATTTTACAATAGGCATGCACTTAAGTTTTTTTTTTATAAAATTGCTCAATATTTCAATCATTAATGAAACACTTTTAGTATTCATCCAGTGAAGCTAAAATATACTGTTTAAAACCTAGTAGTGAGTGACAATTGAGTTAGCCTACTGTAGAAGATTGTGTAAACAAGCTTCATAAACTTTAAATTTTTTTAATCAGTTTTAGGCATATTAATTAATTTAAATGTTAGCCTACATGAAATAAAAATTTATAATATTCTAACACACAATAAAACTGCAACCAAAACCAAGACATTACTTACTGAATTATATCGAGGTCAAACTTCTTTAGGCTGTCACATGAAGAACACAGCAAATTTGCTCTATTAAAGCCAAGATTCCAACAGTCATCTACTGAAAATGATGCTACTGCTTCCTGAACCTAAAAATGGGATGTTATTAGTAGCATAACATGTCTAGGCATTGTACAGTAGGCCTATAATTCTTTGGTGTCCACATTCTTTGTTGTGGCATTTGAATAAATTACAAAACTGTTTAAGAGGAAGTGGTTTATCCTTCAAATGCTTCTGGATATACCGGGAATCAAACCCTTCCCTCTCACACTGAATTGCAAGACGCTATCCAATATATAGACCGGTGTTGCCGCTTTCATTTCCTAACAAGTCACTCAACTAGTGATTGCCAACTCACTTCTCAACTGTTAGATTTCCAAAATACCAAATCATGTTGAAGGGTTAGAGTAGGAAATTTTCATTGTTTTATGAGGTTACAGGTTTTATTCGGTCTAGCTGCTGTACCCATGCTTTGCAACAGGGAAAACTAAAATAAATAAAAGTGTTGCCATCTGTTGGTAAACCTTTTAATGCTATTGAACATAATAGAACCCAACTTGTTGGTTTAGGCTATTTGAAACAGCTGTCAATGATAGGCCTATCTTCTAAATATATAAAAGGCAAAGCCCTCACTGACTGACTCACTCACTCACTCATCACTAATTCTCCCACTTCCCATTTACCTAGGAGGCAGAATTTCGGTATACCGATTCTTTGGGCATTAAATAGGAAAACTAAGTAGTTTTTATTCTGATCGGGCTTTCGGGCTCCGCCCCAGTGGCTCTGGACTTTCCCATGTTAACCTTATGATTTTTCATATTTAAAAGGAATTAACGAATCTTAACAGCTGTTTTAGCGAATTTCCTTATAGGGAAGTAGCTATTACCGTAGGTGGCACGGTAAGACCTAGACCTGGGACCGATTTACTTTTTCATTTTGATGTCCCCAGAGGCCAAAAACACCATTCGTTCAAATTTTTATATATGTATATATATATATATATATATATATAGACTTATATATATATACGTCCGTGAACGCGATAACTTGAGTAATTTTTGTCCGATTTTGATGAAATTTGGTTTAAAGGTGTAAAGCGGGATAAACTTGAATGAGTTCGCGAACCAGCACGATCAGACCATGGGAACGGGGCTTTACGGGGGGTTTTATGGGGTAAAAATTGGTTTTTCTCACTTTTGACCCTCAAAACACCAAATTTCCCGATTTCTCTTTAGACCTTTTTAAAGAGCTTAAAAAAACAAATAATTTAGTATATAAAAGTATTTTTGTTCAATTATTAGTAACGGAGAAAATTATAAAAAAATTGTAAATTTAAAATTCCCATGTTATTCTTATGGAGAATCTTGTCAAATGTTGTAGTTTGCTTGTTTATGGATATATTTTGATCAAACTTGGCAAATTTATTTATTTTGTACTAAGCTATCAATATTTTACTCAAAAACACACTTTATTAGTTTCCTTGTAGCAGCAAACCTAGGTACTCGTTAAACCTAATGTTATTAAAATAAAACTGAAAATCAATTCAGACAAATGGAAATTCGCTTAGTCGGCAGGTTTGCTGCGGCGGGGGTATCAATTAAACAAATTGGTTCTGTTCTATGATGTTAAATAGCATTAAAGTTACAAGGATTACCAACAGGGTGCAGAACTATTATTTTTTTTTTATCTATGACAACACAGCTAATTTGCAAACAAAAGGTGAGTAAGCGTAGCTAACGAACTTCAACCTGGAGGCGAGTTAGCGTAGCAAACGAGCTAACCTGAAGGCAAGTGAGCGCAGCGAACGAGCTCCAACCTAAAGGTGAGTGAGCGTAGCGAACGAACTTCAACCAGGACGTGATTGAGCCATGCGAATACTTGTGAAGTTAAACGGGGCAAAGCCCGCGGGTACAGCTAGTCTATATATAAAGCCAAAAGTACCCATGAACTTTTGAGAAAACTACAAGTCACACCCCCATAAACCATATACTTAAAAGGTTCGTCATGACGAGAAACCTTGCGCAAAATTATCCATTATTTCATATGCCCTATAAGGTCGTAATTGCTTTCCAAAGGGAACTTTCCATTTACCTAATGTTAAAAATACCTCAGCTGTTATTATTTGTTTGTATTACCATTACTATATTCTGCTTTGTTTATTTCAGCTTAACTTAACCAATCAATAGTTTTATTAATACTTATGTAGTAAACGGGGTGGAGCCCGTGGGTAACAGCTAGTTCTTTTTAAATAGTCTTTCAAAAACCCTGACATAGGTACCTTTAAGACAGTCCCAGGGCTAAGCCCTGAAAGTTATCACAAAATTGATGGTGTATAATTGTATAAACCTATTTCATGAAATTCTACATGTATGTACCAAGTATCGTGGCCATTGGTCCAGCATTGTCTAAGTTTATCACTGCAAAACATACGTACAAATATAAGTTAGTACCAACTGTTATGAGAATGACTTAATAAACCAAAAGTATGACTTTTATTCATTCAAAATTACAACCATGTTTTAGTTAAAAACTAATACAATGTTTACAAACAAATCAAATAAAAAACATTATCAGGTGATAATGTTCACATCTCCATATTCTCCCCACTAGCGTCTCATTTTCCTCGTCAGAAACTGATGAGAACCTTTTCTGTGAAGAAGTCCCCTCACACAAAACGCTACATCCCCTCACACAATCCCCGATTGTGGGAGAGCCCCTCACGTCGATTTAAGAAAACTTTAAACTTATTTTATAATTTTTTAAAATTAATTTAAAAAGTTGTAATTATATAATTAAACTGTCATAACCCAACCAAACTCGCTGATAATATAAAAAAGATATAAAGATAAAAATCTAATGAATGTTCCCTCAAAAGAAGAGTGACGTCACGCCCCCCCACTCCTTCCCTAAAGAGGTTCTCATCCGTTCCTGACGAGGAAAATGAGGTGCTATACATTCTCCCCCACTAATTTTTATGGTAGGTATAGCAAATCTTTAGATATGACGGAGGCTTGACATTCCTCTTTGGACGTAGTTCCCACATAGCCGTCTCTGAAGTTGGGGTCTGAGATATTGTTTGTTGAGATTCATTTTGATCTTCATTCTGGCCAATGTCTGAATTCATATTTTCATAATTCTCTCTTTCAGCAGTGTTATCTTCAGGAGGTAGATCACCAGGAGGTAGGCCAGCAGTTGCAAGATGTCTCAAGGATACTTCAGATTCTGATCCATCTCTTCGTCTGACGAGAGCGTACTGTGGATTAGATTCCAAAAGTTGAACTGGCTCCACAAAGTCATCATATTTATTCGATCTTACAAACTTTCTAAGCAGGACAGGCTTAGGAGTGGATAGCCCAGATGGTGAGGAGTCTCTAGTGAGGTAGTTCTTCTGCTATGTATAAAGAATCTTTCGTGTGGTGTGCAATTTGTCACAGTACATAAAAGAGATCTGACTGAGTGAAGAGCCTCCTGTAATACTTCTTTCCATGCAGCTACTGGTAGGTTATGGGTTTTCAAAGCTAATAGGGTGGTTCGCCATATTGTTCCATTAAAGCGTTTAATCTGAGAGTTTTTCCCTCTAGGATTATAAGGTGTCGTATCACTTGTAGCTACTCCATACTTGTGAAGAAAATGTGTCAGTTCACGCGACATAAAAGATGAACCTTTATCTGAATGTACAAATGACGGGGCTCCAAACATAAAGAATAGATCTGAAAAAAATTTAATAATATTTGCTGGACTAATGTCCTTAAAGGGGTAAGCAAATACGAAACCAGAATACTCATCCACCATGTTTAAAAGGTAACGGTTTCTGGTCGTTGATGGAAGAGAGCCCTTAAAATCAATATTTAGACGTTCGAAGAGAGTGGTTGCCTTTATCAATTTTTCTTGAAATTGGTGAAAGAAACCTTGGCTTCACTTCTGCACATGTTTGACCAGCTGACGTCATCCTTTTACTTTCTCCCCCTATACCATAGTATATGGAGAAAGTATTGTTTTCATCAAAAATTTTGAGTTTGAGTTTTGAGTGGATATACCCGTTGTGGGTCCCCCTGGACCCAAAAAAGTAGTTTTCGATGTGATGTCTGTGTATGTGTGTGTGTAGCTAGGGACTACACCTGTGGTCCGATTTCGATGAAATTTGGTGTGTAGGTTTTAATCCATGGTATCTCCAGGCTTTTTTTTTCATTTTTTTGAAATTTTGAATTTTAATGATTTTCCTATAAAAACCCATTAAATAAAAGAAAAATTTGGATTTTGTAAGTGGCACGAATGATTTTGATAAAGATTTAGTATGTTGTAGCCCTTTAAATTTTGAACAAAATGGTATAAATCCCATTTCTGTAAAAATTAGGGTTCAAAAGTTATTGTAACTTATGTTATTTTCTCATAAAAAAGAACATAAAATAACAAAAAAATAAGATTTTTGGAGAAAAGCTGGTTTTGATCAAAATTAGTATGTTATGGTCCTTATAATTAAAAAAAAATAGTACAACACCCCATTATAACAATTTTGGTTGAAAAGTTACTGCAACTTTTGTGATTTTAACTAACTATAAAATATCATATTTACTCTCACCGTTTACCCATGATAAAGGTTGTATCTATATATTAATTTGAAACTGTTTTTCTTTGTCACAGCTATTTTGAGAGAACGGCTGGGCGTAGAAACTCGGTAGAGGTGTCTAAAGAAAGGTCTTGGTCTGTAGATGAGCCATCAAAAGAGAAACATGGTGAATTCCCTTGGGGCTCTGCCCCAGTGGCCTTTAAATTCCCATCCCATGTTATTCTTTCAACATTTTGGTTAATTAATGGAATTGTTCGAATACAAAAATTTGTTTGTTTTGTAAAATATCTTAAATTTCTGTTTTAAAAGTCTTATCAAGTCAAGTTGTTATTTTATTATTTTTTACATTTTAACTTATGCAAGGAGCTGAATGTTAATTGTGTTTATTCCTCAGTAGTGATAGAGATATTGTCTTATTTTATTAGCTTAGTTATTTTAATTACGATGTATTACGTCCCAAGTATGTGTGTGTGTGTGTGAATGTGTCTGTTGCAGCTACGCCGGTGCGCGTCGTCGGCGCCT